GATCCAAGGAGACCATGGGCCAGATTTTCAAAGGTACCAAGGCATATAAAATTTAATTTTCATTACAGCTTAGGAGCTCTGTCTGTGGACGTGTGGGTGCCTTTGAAGCATCTAACATTTAAGTATTTTAGTTCCAAGTTCAGACAATACAAAGCAGTGTTATGAAGCTAGGTTTCTCAAATCTCAAGCCTGAGTACTGAGTAGGATCCTGAGTACTCCTTGGTACTTTTAATTACTTGACATTTCTTATGTTATTTTGTATTTGCTTTCTCACTTACTGGTCTGATTTTCTATAATTGGTTCCTTATAGTACAACAGAAAAAGAACACAACTTTTCTAAATATTATTTTGTTTACAAAAACCATAATTGAACAATCAGGTAAGTTTCCATAGTTCATATCTTCATCCAGTGTCTACTACAGCCAATGTGAAAACATTTGCAGACCTTAACAGGCAATTGTCCAAGCCCTTACTGAGCACTTAGAGTGCTCCACCTCCAAATTCAGTGGAATGCTATTTTAATTACGGATCTTTGCCATCCCAAAGGCAAAAAATTATGACAGCCGTACTTTTAGGCTGTCAGTGGTTAGGTGCCGCTTCTCTTTGATGTGGATTTGTAATGTTTTTGTTAAAGACTTGCAGATCTGATGGAAGAACATCAAGAAGAGTTAGCAACAATAGAGTCTATAGACTCAGGAGCTGTCTACACTTTAGCTTTGAAGACCCATATTGGAATGTCTGTGCAAACATTTAGATACTTCGCTGGATGGTGTGACAAAATCCAGGCAAGTGACTATGTAAAGGGAATAATCAATAGCAGTGCTTCTCTACACTGCACTTTTTTTTTTCTGACACAGTGCCAAAAACCAGTCACCAAAAGTAATCAAGGAATCAAAAAATAAAGCAAAATTAGAATTTTACCTAAAATGAGTCTCCCTGGCAATGCAAAAGGGCAGTCTGCTTTCAATTGGAGAACATGGATTTAGAATGTGACCCTAATTGTCCAAGAAATCAGTTGAGGTGTCACAATGGATATGCATGTTTAGTCAGCTCTTGATTATTCATGGCGCAGAATGTCATTGTGGTCATCATGCGGGTAAGTGCAAAGACTCATTGTGGTATATTAAACTCTGACCCAGCCTGGTGAGTTTGCTTGATGGCACAGCAGGTGGCACAGCTTGAATAGCATTTCCTCAAGTATCTTTACGATCCACAATCAAGAATATAATTCACCTTTTTTTCGTCCATCAGACCCTCAGTTTATGTTCTTCCCTACTTTTGTTATCTGTGCTTTTATTTCATCCAACGGAAAAACAGGAGTTGACTACAGTATCCATAGTAGGAAATGATACAGTATAAGAATCCCTGCCCCTTTCTCTGATGCAAAAATGCTGGTTTTGAAGCCTATTCTGTGACTTTCCAAACCATACTTATATGGCAAATATATTTATAATAAAAAAGATTAAACAGTATCAAGATTTGTCCCTCTGCTGTGTTGCAGGGTGCTACAATTCCAATTAACCAGGCACGACCAAACCATAATCTAACATTCACCAAGAAAGAGCCAATAGGGTAAGTGTCACTCTTTTCTTCTTTGTGACAGCCTTGACATACAGAAAAGACATTAGAAAGCTGCCATCAAAAATTAATCTTTCCCTGTTTTTTCCCTACCTTAAGTGTCTGTGCAATTGTTATTCCCTGGAATTACCCACTGATGATGCTTGCATGGAAGAGCGCAGCTTGCTTGGCTGCAGGCAACACACTTGTACTCAAGCCAGCTCAGGTAAAACCTAAAAGGATTGTACAGGTAGCTCAGGCCCACCACTATTTTTTCACTATTTTTTTATTAACTGAAAATAATTCAGTTAATGTAGTGGATTTCACCCATAGGTTGACCGTGTCAAATGTTTTAAAGTGCATATATAAAAATACAAATTGCCATGATGATACGTGGTACTGATTGTCTTAAATTCTGCTCTGATGCTACTCTCATTTTTAAGAATTAATTCTTTCCCGCAAGAAGCCATCACTTTTAATTTGTCAATACTGTAAGAAGATGAATATTGTCACAAAATTAAGATGTATTGAATGTAAAAGATATCATCACACATTTCATTAAAATAGGAGACCTAATCTAAATGTTTCTACATAGGTCACACCTCTGACTTCCTTGAAGTTTGCAGAACTCTCGGCTAAAGCTGGATTTCCTAAGGGTGTTATAAATATTCTGCCTGGTTCAGGTAAAACTCCAACCATTTGTCTGGGAAGAGTAGGTCATGCTAAAACTAGTGAACTAGCATTTTACCTTTTTGAAGACCTATTACATACTACTATCTTCACAGGTAGTAGGCTTGCATCTATGTCACACAGCAATTTCACAAATTTCCAGAACAGAATTGGAAAAATCTGTATGTCACCTGGCTCTAGCTAGTGGTAAGAGCTGTCAGCCCTCACCCTTTACAAGTTCACACAAATAGCATGAACACTCTGAAAAAGAATGGATTACAGAGAAACATGTTTCACTTGTTTGTAGAACTTCATTTTTTTCTCCTGATCTTATCATCACTTGGCAGTATTTAAATGTGACAGTGAGACTTAAGGCAAATGGGTAAGATGCTTATTGGTCACTATAGGTAAGTCATGGTCCACACCATATTACCTGATGTCACCATTTTCCTCTTTCCCCTAAGGAAGAAAAGTGACAAAGTAATTTTATGGGGCAGGCTCTGTTACAGATCAGATTATTCCACCTACAGTGGAATATTAGGAAAAAAGTTCTTTAGTCCAGGCAGATGGTGGAATTTGGAGACACTAATGTGATCCAAGTTAATTAATATGAGATGTTTCATAGTCATATGAATAAAGCTGTGAATATAACTAAGGATGTGATACTGTACTTGACTGTTAGCTCTTTCAGTGTTCAATTGCTGCTGCTGGAGCAGTAAGAATTGTCCATGTACTGTCCAGTTGAACTGTTTTCCTCACCCTGACAGGTGGCTTAGTGGGACAGCACCTCTCTGAACACCCAGATGTTCGCAAAGTTGGATTCACTGGTTCAACACCAACTGGCAAACAGATCATGAAGAGGTACTCTCAGCAAAAGATTAATAAATAAACACTGCTCAACCTAGTTCTGGCTCTTTCAGTGTTCAATTGCTGCTGCTGGATCAGTAAGAATTGCCCATGCGCTGTCCAGTTGAACTGTTTTCCTCACCCTGACAGGTGGCTTAGTGGGACAGCACCTCTCTGAACACCCAGATGTTCGCAAAGTTGGATTCACTGGTTCAACACCAACTGGCAAACAGATCATGAAGAGGTACTCTCAGCAAAAGATTAATAAATAAACACTGCTCAACCTAGTTCTGAAGTATCTTATTATCTATATTGTACATGTAGCAGTAATAGAAAAGCGTAATTACATATGGTTGTTTACATTTATGTATAATTCTACTAAGCCACTACTGGAAAATAGAGGTTTATACATTTTTACTAGATATGATTTAAAGAAAATAATGAAATAAGCTACTTTAAAGTTGATTTTATATGATTATTTATTTTTTTTTACAGTGCAGCCACTAATCTGAAGAAAGTTTCTCTTGAACTTGGTGGTAAATCACCACTGATCATATTCAGTGACTGTGAACTTGACAGAGCCGTGAAAATGGTAATGTTACTTCGAAGTAAAATATATTCAAAGCCTTTGTGACACATCATCACAGTATTGCAATATTCTTCCTGGCTTGACAAAAACTGCAGTGGGGAACCCTTGCATAAAAAATCATGCAATCTGTTAGAAAACATAACAAAACAAATATATCTGGAAAGTATGTTCACTCGCCAAGTTAACACATTAAAATTGATTTGTCAAAATCTGATACTCAAATAAAAAGCGCTTAAAAAAATGAAAGCCCCAAAGTGAGTTAAAATATATATTGAGCTCCCTATTGCCATATAGCTCTTAATTCACCATCAATCATGATAATCCCCCTTTCCAACCAACCATAATGTGTTTAAAGTTCATAAATAAGGTGTGAAAATGAGAAATTCAAGGGATTTAGGGAGCTTATTTCCTGCTCAGGTAATCCGATTCATCAAAACGACGGCAGATCCAGTTTGCTCGCTGAGAAGCAAACAAAGGTCTTTCATACTGTGCTTACCCAGAGTGCTCATTCTGTGAATTCTCTAAACCAGCGTAAACAGGTAGTGCTACAAGGAAGGAACTGTTATACACTTTCCCTATTTTTGGAGTGTCTTTTGGCAGGACGAGAGTCTGAGTGACTACACAGTGAAGTACATGTGGAAAATAGTTAAAGCTGGACCTTTGCAGCCAGCGCACTGCTTTGCCCCACTTCTTTCCCAGCTGTAGAAGTGAGAGGGTGACACATAGGCTGGCCTGAGCTATACCTGGCGTTGATGGCTTTAAATGATTGTGAAACAATGCTTTTTTGCCACACACTTGACACTAGCACATGATCCCGGTCATATCTGCTAATGCCAGGACCCTTTGCAGCTGCCAGAAAACTACTTTTTAAGACCTGTATTTGTCCTGCTCTTCCTTCCCCCACTTCCCTGTTCCCCTGGAAAAACAGTGGCAGGTATCAGTTCTTGATAAATAAAAAGGAGCAATCTGTAAAGAGTCTGAATCCACACCCTCTAAATAGGAGGTTTTCTGCAGATTGGAGCTAGGTGATGCTGACCCAGTTTCATCTGACTTTTGACACGAGCAGGAGAGCTCAGTGGATTAGCAGTTTTATATTCGCTGGTCGTGCTGCCAGCCCTCTTCTCTGTGATGCTGCAGCAGATGTTTCTGTGGAACACTGGTGGAAACAGAAAGAGCAGTGCTAGTGAGTTCATCCTGAACCATTTGTCTTGATGGAAGTGTGTTTGCCAGTTATAAGATTAGCCTGCTTGTTGCATTGGTGATGTCCCTTCACATAAAGCATTACATGTTGAGGGTCACAAACATAGAATGCAACCCAAGGGGACCGAATGAAAGGGAAACTGAACAAAAGGATGCTTATAAATATTAATGTTGTTGTTTTTTTTTCCCCTGATCAGGGCATGGGAGCAGTATATTTCAACAAAGGAGAAAACTGCATTGCAGCTGGCAGACTGTTTGTGGAAGAATCAATCCATGATGAATTTGTTAGCAAAGTGGTAAGATACTCAAGGACTAAAGTTTAAGCAGATGCTTTACTGTGGCACTAAGAGCCACTAGTTCTACAGGCACTTGCATTTCTTCTAATTTTCAGTTGCTTAAATTCTCATGATTGCTTATGATATTGCTTCTTGGGAACCTCTTTATAGGGTTAAAAGGAAGGCGGTGAAAGGAGATATTTTCATCAATAATCCACAGATATGTGACATTGAAGTAGATATTGTATCTTAAGTACATTGTACCTCAAGGCCATTTCCTGATTAGGAAACTAAGATTAAAAAAATTACTGAACTTAGGTCAACGTGATTGAAGGCTCCAGTGAAGTTTTTAAAAAAAGGTGTATTGGAAGCGTAGCTTGAGTAATACAAAGGTCATTATTAAAAATCCAGGTCACCTCACTGTACCACAGGAAAATTCATTTATCTAGCTCAAGAACAGAAAATCAGTGATAACTCATTTATTACTGTAAAAGCTAACATTTTACATGCCTATCTTAATAGCAGAAGAGAATGAATACATGAAAACAGCATTAAAAACTTTCAGAAATAACCAGAGATTACCAAACATAAGACACCATTCAAAGCCTCATTTTAGAAAGGGAAGAGCATTCCACCTTCTAAGAATCCAGCCCTTTCTTAGGGCCAAATTTCATAGTACAAACAATGAAGCATCCCAAATCACTGGTCACTTTAACAACCATTTGCTGTGTTATGTGACTCCATTTTAATTGGGTAACCCACAGGTGGAAGAAATAAAAAAGATGAAAATTGGTGACCCACTTGATAGATCTACAGATCACGGTCCACAAAATCACAAGGCACATTTGGAAAAGCTGCTGCAATATTGTGAAACCGGAGTAAAAGAAGGAGCCACTCTAGTGTATGGAGGAAGACAAGTACGTAGACCAGGTAAAATACTGCTCAAAGGTGTTTGGAACATTTACTGTTTAAATAAAAGCCATCGTGGTTGTCTCTGCTGTATCGTGTGAAGTAGCAATATCATAGGAACAGCACCAGGTAAGGCCAAGGTAACACTTGAGGACGGGGATTTCTCATATTCTGAAATGCTCTGCAACTGAAGTGTAATATATGAAATTGAATCAGAATATAGTCTATACAGCAATCCTTTGCTGATTTATTCCTGTTGTTTATGAGGCATTGAGGCCTTTTGTGGAACATCCTTGAACTATCAAGCTACTCAAGTATATTTATATGCATTTTCATCAACAAAACACTAAAGACAACTGAGGAAACTGCTAGCAGAGTCTGCATAAGGTATTATTAATAGAAGCCTTTTTTGCTATATAAAGAATACGTATGCTAAGTTAAATGGGAAGGCATGATGACAACATTTTCTCATGGACATCTGTCCTTTGTCATTAATGAAGGAGAAACATTTGCATCAGAGTTCAAAAACATAATGATTGCATCCCCAAATAAAATGAAAGCGGAGATTTATAACCCTATGAAATCAGTGTAACAAAGCTAAATGGGAAGTCTTATGGAAATGGTAAGTAATTATAGAAAACCTCTGAAGCTGATTTTACCCACTGAAATACACTCACTCACCAAGATGTAGGTTCGCTTGTGTATAACACCAGGACAGTTATTGACTGGCAGTGATGAACTAGTTTTGGACATCTTTTTACACCCCTTAGAAATGAACAGTTGTTAAGAAGAGGCCCTTTGCCTCAGAATTTTCTTTACTTCAGCATCCATAAATCTTAGGCAAAGTTGCTGCCCATTGCATGCTTTCCCTTGTTTGGAATATACAGATTTTTGTGGCTACAGTCTGTATTCTTGTTGGGTAACAGGAAAACCTGTGGCCTCTGCGACATGCTGTAACCTTGTCTTCCTGCTGTCAGAGTGCAGGGTTTTCCCCCCAAGAAGTCCCCTGTGCTGTGGCATGCAGACCTTCCAGCCTGGCAGGGAACAGCGCAGAGTTGTTGCTCTGATCGATACAGACCATTCTTTTAACCTTTTCTCTGCTGTTTTGCTGCTGCTTACATGCATCTTCATTCATACTTCATTCATATCAATCTTGATGTTCTCTCTTTCAAGTCACAACGTATCAATGACCTCAAAGTATGGGGAAGAGACAGCCTGGACAATACAAACCATGGAGCATTTTGGCCATGCTTAAGTGATGCTTTGTCCTCTGTTTAGGTTTCTTCATGGAACCCACTGTATTCACAGACGTTGAAGACCATATGTATATTGCCCAGGAAGAGTCCTTTGGTCCTGTGATGGTGATTTCTAAATTTAAAAATGGGTATGTTCTCCTCTGGTTACTGGTATTCACTCTACCAAGTGTAGAAATGATCATAGAATCATAGAATCATAGAATGGTTGGGGTTGGAAGGGACCTCAAAGATCATCGAGTTCCAACCCCCTGCCATGGGCAGGGACACCTCCCACTAGAGCAGGTTGCTCAAAGCCCAATCCAGCCTGGCCTTGAACACTTCCAGGGATGGGGCATCCACAACTTCCCTGGGTAGGATACATAGCATGATTTTCTTAAATCTTGTAAGACCAGTCTGGATTTCCAGCTAAATTCTGAGAAAATACCCTTTTTAGTAAGGGGCATCCTGCTCCATGTTGATGTAAAACTAATGCTATTAGCACCGTGTGACAGGATAGAATGCAACCATAAGTGCCAGTTCTTAAATAAGACTTAGTATTCAGTGAAGCATTTTTACTGAAGTTGATGTGGTAATTGCAACAGCTTGATCAAATTTTGAAATATGTATTTTTTTCCAGTGGAATCACTTGACTTTCTATTTGTCACAAAAGACCACATAGTGTTGTGCATTGTGTAACATCAGCATATTACTGTTGCAAATGGAAATCCCTCTGTATATTTTGTAGACTGTCAGTTTTAATAGCTTTCATTCCAAGCCATAGGAATTATTTTACACACAAATGAGATTAAAGCCCTATATAGAAACTTCATATAAGTATTTCCTCCAGATGTTATTTTCTGCTGTTTGTTAATGCACAGAGATAACCCTTCGCATCTATAGGTTTTGTACAGTGATAAGGGACTGTATTGAAGTTTTTAAGATTTTAAATCATTATGGATTTTTGAAGCTCTATGGAGATGAGATGCAAATAGAAAATAGCACTCTGGACATGACCAGAAAAAGTTGTGTAAGTCTGAGTTTCAGCACTTACTCCCCATCAACTTGTAAAGCAGGGCCAAAATTTTAGAAAACTGATTCATAACCTGCTGCCAAGCTCTGCTTTACAACTGTTTTTGCATTGCTGTAATCCCCAAGTTGTACTGTAGCTGTGCAACTTTTCCTTTGACATTTCTTAGTGTGGTTGTTAACCATTGAAATGGAAGGTTACAAGTTTTACAAGTTTGAAGCCAAGGTATGAATTTCCATAAATCTGTCAGATTGACACACAGATTAGCCCTTAATAAGTTGACTTTAAAGAAGCTAACTGGAGAAGAAAGAGCATGGGAAAAGGTCCTTCTATGACATCGAAGGTGGAAGGCCACTAATAATTGTTTATTTTACCTAGTTACAATGCAATAATTTATTTCCCCATAGAGATGTTGACGGAGTGCTGCGACGGGCAAACGCCACAGAATATGGCTTAGCTTCGGGAATTTTCACAAAGGACATCAGCAAAGCTCTCTACATCAGTGAAAAGCTCGAAGCTGGAACAGTTTTTATTAACACCTATAACAAAACTGATGTGGCAGCACCATTTGGTGGATTTAAACAGTCTGGCTTTGGGAAAGATTTAGGTAAGTTGTTCTTTCCCTCTCTCATTTCTCATCTGACAGTTCAAATCAATGAAAAAACCACCTTACCCCTGTGCTACGTATCTAGAAAAATGTGAGCTACAGATGCATTTCCTGCATCTCCTCCATTCCTCCGGTTACAGTGATGGAGTTCCTCTCACATCACTACAATATTCCCCCCTCAAATACCTCCAGGTCAGCCCCTCAGGTACATTTGCTAAATAAAGCTACGGCACGAGGAATATTCCTCTCCAACTCCTCTCAGAGCAGTCACGTTACAGCTTGTCCGGAGCAGCTCACAGGCTACCAAATGCTGTCAGGCAGCAAAGGTGTTGGCCAAAATCTTCTTTCCCTCACAAAGAATGCTAACTGAGGTTTCTCCTCTGAACTTGTAAGAGCATGGGAAACTTTTTTACGCCTTAAAAAATGTCATCAAAATTTGCCCACAGCTACAGAGAAAGATGCATCAAAAAAATCTTTTCTTGTCAAAAGCAGTTTTAAAAAAAGTGAAGTCTAGTCTGTCAAAGAAACTTTGCAAGTCTGGGCAGATTAAGCCTCTTGGCAAAGAAAAATGAAAAAAAAAAAAAAATTCAGTGACACAAGAATATTTTTGCCTTTGGAATCTCTAGCCAGCATCAGGCATTTCCTGAAACTAAAATGACTATTAGCATCAGGAAAAAAAGATTACCAATTTTTACAGTTTCTTTACCTAGAAACGTTCACACAGGTAAACCAAAGTTCATAAATTCAACTGTGAACCCCTGGCAGCCATCTAGGAGCTGCTGCTGTTGCAGTCCACACCCAGCTGGCTGCTTCTTAAATTCCAGCTCCTTTTTCTTATCACACCTCTTGGGTTTGGCCTCTTCTTGTCAAACCAGTTCTGTGAATTCTCAGTAGGAGGGTAAATTAATTAGTTTCCACTGTTCCTTAAGGACCCAAATATTGGCTAAAGCATTTTAAATTTTTGTCTTAATAATGCAGTCTCTGATAACATTCTCTCATTTAGCTGCTATTCTCACTGGTGAATATTGTGCTTGTACAGGTGAAGAAGCTCTTCATGAATATCTCAGAACCAAGGCTATCACTGTGGAATATTGAAGTAACAACTTCCTTTGGAAAGGAAACTTTCGGCAGAGTTTCAACCTTGATGACTCCATGAAGCACTCTATATCATGCCCAGGATATGCTGTCTGCAGTGCTACAACTTAAAAAAAAAAAACCAAACAAAACACTCATTCCATGGATAAGTTTCTATAAATCAGGTCCAAATTTGAGTTTTGCTGACAGATAAAAGCATTTGGAAATTAACCTGAAGTTATTTAAATTATGCAGCAGCAGTTGGTCGCACAGTCCCCCCCCTCACCCCCCCAAAAAAAACCAAGAATATGATTTATTTTTTTAAATACAACTGAAGAATGAGTTCTCACATGCCAACTTATTTGTGTGAACATAATCTTTACATGATAATTTTAAATCCTTAGTCATTAGGCTTCTCTTAAAGTTGAACTAAAATATATTGATTATGCCCTTTTTGCTATAAACCAGTTGAAGTTTTACAGCAGCAATTAAACATTCTGCTCTGGTGATTCTTCAGCAGTACAGAAAAACCTTTGTGCCATAAGAAATAAATCAATGCAAGGAAGTGCACTTAATATGATCTTTGTATAGTACATACAGAGTTCAACATCAGTGTTAAACTATGCATATCAAGCTAAAGTTACTAAAAACATTTTCTACCTTTTTGTTGATATGGAATGTGTGATCTGCCTGCCATTTGAAAGGTGGTTACATTAACAGATTAAAATCACTTTTTGTGTCTGTGCACATGGACTGTTATCACTGTTTTATATGGCATGATTATTACTTTGTATTTCATACTTTCTTTTTTTCTTTTAGTCAACGGGAAAATCTCTTGTAAAATGACTGAGTTCAGACGTTGGCTTTCAAACTTTCTTTAGTTTGAAGGACATTTTCCATAGATCGAGACCTTATCTAACAAACTAAGCCTAAAACCACTTGCTCTTCTTCAAGTGAAACTCCACCCAAATCTTAATCTGATCTGTGGGCTGCCATTAAAAGTAGCAGGCCCATTCTTTGGTTCCCACCCTTCCCCTTTGCTGCAATATTTTGTGGTTTAATCAGTTAACCTCAGTAAATCATGCCCCGATTCCATTTTTAAGAAGCCACATCGTGCAACAGAGACCAGAATCCTTGTTATTTCTTATCATAAATATTACAGAATCAGGTATTAAAATTACAGCTTCGAGATTCAAAATATTCTGTAAATAATTGCAGATTTCAAGCATGACATTAAGTTTAATATGAGCAAATACAATATAGGAAATTTTACTCTAATGGCGTAGAAAATACAAAGTTCCTTTAAGAAACAATGACATCCAGGAGCATGACAGATACTTCTGAAATGCAAACAGATCCATGGAGTAAATACAACACCTCAAATCGTTGTATTTGATCAACCTGAGGTAAGTATGAACCGAACTTTCACCAGTTTTGGTTTCACCATTGTTTCAAGCTAACCTAAGTACAGGCCAGCTCAAAATTCACCTTTTCATTCTTCTGGCAGCGACAGTTGATTACAAAATGGAGAGGACAGAAACGTGGCAGGGAAAGTGGGAGATGAAAAGTGTAGCTTAAAGCGATTTTAACACCAGAGAGGGAGACTCGAATGTTTAAGTACTGAGGGTATCTGTGCTACAGCCACAAACGTTCCAGATGTGAGCTAGTAACCCACCTGCGATGATGTGGAGCTCAGGGCAGGCACAGAGGGTAAGAAATCCTTTGCTGAACTCTCTCCCAAGTCATGGCTGTCCTTACCCACATCCTTACCTCAGCTTGAACTGACCTCAGCCACTGCTTTTAGTGTTCAACAGTTACTGTCATGAATGCGATGTAGACATACCTCTAATGTACTTTAAGATAATGTTTAATATTGAAGACATTTTACATAACACTTCACAGGCCACAGAATATAAAAAATAGACCTTTTTTCCTAGTTAACTCTTTACTGCCCTTGAAGCAAATACGTCTATCACACTACAAAAATCTTTCTTCAACAAAGCAAGCGAACAAGAATTTTAACTGAATTAGTTCAAGTGCCCCAAATTCTAGCTGCTTTCTTAGTCTAACCGATGAGGAAGTTTGTTTCCACATTGTTTCATGAATAAAACCGTACTTAATTCTTCAGAAATCCAGCTTGCCTCAGTCATGAGAGGATCCTGAATTCTCCACCATGTAAACTATAGCATTTCACATGATCTTGAAGGGTGCTACAGTGGGCAACAAGACAGTTTTAAGGGCAAAGTCTTCAAAGTAATAAAACATTATTTGGTTTGGGGGTTTTTAAAAGTACAATAAAAATGGATTTACTCATTCACTTTGCTGTCCAAAATTTCTATTTTGCCCTTTTTTTCCTTTTGTTTAGGAAACTTAATGTTGTCCATTGTCACTTCGTCAGTTGTACAGTCATCTTCAGATTCCGAGTCATCTTCTGAAGTCAGTATCTCTTCATCTGTATCAGAATCACTTAGTTGAACTACAGCCACATTCTGGAAAAAAAAAACCAAAACAAAACCAAAGCACCCTTAGTTAACACATTATACGTTTCTATACCACTTCTATCATTTGAGTAAAACGTGTAACAAACATATGATACAGCCTACTATCATAAGAAAACCACAACCACAATGAGAGAGACTTTGGGGTTCTCCTAGGATTATGACAAATATCATTCCAAAATATTTAAATTGTAATTTATATTACTCTATAGCAAATATAAAGCCACTTTTAGATCTGCTGGTTTTGGCTGAGGTAGAGTAAATTTTTTTCAGAAAATTTGCTTCTCAGACACTGTGACGTGCAAAATCTTTCAAAAGTCCTGTCCAGGTTGCCCATTCCACTTAAGCATCTTAAAACAAACAATTTTCGAGATTGTCTTCTCACTATTTATTTGGAATTCTTCACATATACCAGCACTGGACAATGTATTGCATGCAGGCTAGATACAACCTACAGGAACTCTGAATCCAACAAGTGGCCTATAAATTATCCTGACAGCTCACACACACCAAATCCCAGGCTGCCTTATTTCTGCCTTTTATCTTGAAGGTCTGCAGGCCAAAAGGCACTTGTCTGGGACGTGCACAAATATATCACCTTCATATGAGCATGTGGCTGCAGCACTTCAGTTAAAAACTGCACGAAAGTACTGATGTGAACATAAATAAATAGAAAAGTATCAGCCATAAAGGATCGCAACAACACTAACAACTTTTCTAAACCCAAGACTTACAGCCAGTCCTAAGAATATCGATAAAGCACAGCTGAAAGCCAGTTATTACTCTTATACTAAAGCTTTCTGTTATGCCCTATTACACCTCACATTGTCCAGTTTCTATATCAAATTACCCACGAGTCATTTAAAAGACAATTTGTGACTTGCTTTAGATTCAGAGTTGCAGATCCAAAAGTATGTCCTATTCTGGCCTTAAACTACTTCATCCACAGTCATTAAATTCTGCAAATATGAAAACCAAGCAGTAAATGCTTAACCAAATAAGTATTTTCATTGCACCTATGTTTTGAATTTGCAGGTCTTAGACTAAAATGATAAAGACTTAGCCTTATGTATCAAATTAGCTTATTTTAAGATCGAAGAATTCTTTTAATCACACCTAAATTTACTTTATAAAATAAAAAATATAGTCAGTATTTACCATTTCTATAACTTTTTCTGTTGCATCATCTAGATTTTCAATGTCAAACTGATGAGCTGGTGCTGTTACCATTTTTCTTCTTAATTCATCATTGGCATGTGCCATCTGTGGTAAAAAGCTCTGTACTCGGTCCAAAACTGAAAAAGAAGCAATTATCACACATATATATATGCAAACAGATGCACATTAGTTTATACATTTATACCTCAGAAATCTGAGCATTTAAACAGATCCCATTTCAACAGTAATTTCAAACTGTCTACATTTAAGATATTATAATAGGGGGTTTTACTATATATAGTATTCCATTTCCCAAGATATAAACAGCAAGAAGGTACTGTATCTATTGGTCAGCATGTGGTACAGGAAGAAATCACTTCAACAATTCCATCTGGAATCTTAAACAAAATGTGACTACTTTATAGACATCTTTCTTGTAAATTTCATGGTTTTCAATACACATCGAGTGCCATCTTGATAAATTTCCACATCACCATTACCTCCAATGGAAATACAATTATGTCCTCCTTTCTTCCTTATTAAAATATTAACTGAAGGTCTCAAAGACAGAAAAATTACATGTAACACAGATGCTGCAGATGTCATGCTACACTAAAGAAAATTCAACATAATTATCAACAGGGTCTCTGAAATTAAAATGGTGGGAGAAAGACAGATGCTTCAGGTTGATAAAACAATTAACCTCTACAGATCTAGCTCTGCAGAAGCAGCAGTGACACAGTTAACCAATGGGACGTGCAACTGCAATGGAGGAGGACCTAGCACCAGTAGAAACACAACACAAGAGTTCCCCGCTTTACTAATGCAAGGAAAGCACTGAAACAAAAGTAAGTTATGTCAGAGATGTCCCCTGGTACTCGACACTGTTCCAACAACCAAGTCCTACTTACCGTCACTCCTTGGCATCCTAACGGTTTGTAACGTTGTAGCCTTCTTGCTGCTACATTTTGAACTAATCAACAAAGTTTCTTCCAGCCCTGGAAACAAACAAGTTATTTGAATGTTTACCTACGTCAACCACAAATGCCACATTTAAATGGTGAGGCTCTCTCCTTGCTGCTACTTTTCCACCTTTCTACAACAAGACTAAAAACGAGGATTCAGCTGCCTCTGCTTCCAGGAATTCCACTCTGCTTTCCTGCAAACACTGTTTCTTGATGTCCATTGGTGGTGCTCATCTCAGTACTTCTGTACGTAGTTGGCAGTGAATGCCTAGAACTTGCTACCACAAGAGGCTGTGATCAGCAGGTTCAAGGGAATTAGGCAAATTGAGGGCAGCAGAGCCATAATCTGATATTAAAAGGAGGCAACAGGAACACGTTGTACCCTCTGGCATCCCTACCCCTACAATTACATGTACTGGGCAATTAGAGGAATGGGGAGCACACAGTGCTTAACCTAACAAGTTCTCTGTAATTACCATCTCCTACTGCAGTTGTTGAGAGACAGAATGCTGTATGGACCACCGGCCTGACCCAGCAGGTCACCTCCTACAGGTTCCCACTGAAGTCCTTTGTCAAAGACTTACTTAGGGACAGCCATCAACACGCGGAGAAACTACCGGCAACGACCCACAGCAACACACAGGGAGGTGACAGCCTCCCCGTGCCGGTGACACCCGTTTACATGCCCTCCCCCCCGCGGGTGGCGACCAGTTATCCTCACAGAAATGTCGTTACGACTGTCGGTACCGATTTACGGTTAGTTTTGCGTTGTCCCCCCCCCCTCCCCGCCCCCCGAATTTACATCGCATTACAGCAGCAGCGCCCGGGAGAACGGCAGCTCTTCCAAAGACGCCAGATGCAATAAAAAGTGGGGGCCCCGTCAGCCAGTTGGCCTGAAAAGCGCCACCCCATCCCCACACCCCCCGCCCCAACCCCGGGCAGCCCGCGGGCGGGCGAGGCCTACCGGGCCCACCAACCCCCCGGCCGGGGGAGGCGGCCGGGCCGAGCCCCCCGCCACGCCGGGCCGGGCCGAAAGGCGGGCAGGAGTCCCAGGTCAATTCGGAGAGCGGCGCCGCGCCTCCCGGCCGCCCCCCGCGGGGGCCGCTCACCTCCTCGGCGCCCCACGGCCAGCAGCTCCCGGGAGGCGGTGGGCCCCGCCGCTCCGCCGGCCCCCGCCATGCGCCCCACACGACCGGAAGTGGCGGCGGGCCGGGCTGCTCGCCTCTCCCCGCCTCAGCGCAGCGCCCCCTGGCGGGCGGGAGGGGCAGAGCCGCCCCGAGGCGGTGGCCGGGAGGGGAGGGGCTCCCCCGGCGCCACCGCCGCCCCGCAGGTCGGGGAACCGGCAGCAGCCCCTACACCCCTGTAAGGCTGGGGTCAGTCAGAAAGGAAAATAATTCGTGTTACAAAGGGGAAAGAAAAAAAAACGAACACAAAAAACCCTGCTGGAGAGGGTGCAGCAGAGGGCCATGAAGATGATGGGGGACATGGAGCATCTTCCTTGCGAGGAGAGGCTGAGGGACTTGGGTCATGAAAAGAGAAGACTGAGGGAGAATCTGATCAATGCTTATAAATACATAAAGGGTGGGTGTCAAGAGGACGAGGCTGGTCTTTTTTCAGTGGTGCCCAGTGACAGGACAAGAGGTAACGGGCACAAACTTGATTATATAAGAAGTTCCACTTAAACATGAGGAAGAACTTTGTCACTTTGAGGGTGGCAGAGCACTGGAACAGGCTGCCCAGAGAGGTGGTGGAGTCTCTATCTCTCTATCTCCAGGGAGACATTCAAAACCCACCTGGACACATTCCTGTGCAACCTGCTCTAGGTGGACCTGCTTTGGCAGGGGGGTTGGACTAGATGATCTCCAGAGGCCCCTTCCAACCCCATATCATTCTGTGATTCTCAAAGGCGAAGTGAGAGTATGAAACAGGGCTGGAGGCAGGGAGCGATACCGGAACGCCTGCCAGCAGCTGAGCTGCTTTCAAAACTTCCCCATTTTCATTGTGCAGAGTTTGACAAATGCACCTGAAATTGAATTTCAGGCCCTGAGGGAATTTTTAATTACCTTCTGGAAAGGAAACTTGCACAACCATCAAGTTCAGCTGACACCGGCCAACCTGTTATTCGAGGTTTGTTCTGTGGTTTCTGGCCCTTACCCGCTTATCATCTAGACAATGTGAAAACTGTAAGAAGAGAACTGAATGGTTCGTAAGAGGCGAGATGGGAAGCCCAAGCCACAGATGAGAAAAAGCAGTGATCAGGTAACCGGGGTTTATATGCCCTCATGGCAAAGAACACAAGAAAAAACAACAACAATAACGAAACCCAACAAAACCCAGATCCCAGTATTTTAGAATTAACAAATGCAAAGGAGTAAGAAGCAGCAAACCTCCTGCAAGGCCTCAAGAAAGAGGCTCCACTGCTGGTTTCCTGAGACACCGGCCCAAGCAAGTGTCCTCGGCCACTTTCCCAGGCCACCGGCACCACCAGGCACACCCCACTGCCTGGTCTGCACCTTTCTACCCAACTGTGCTCCAGAATTTTGGTTTCCCAGAAAAATCCTATTGCATGTTTTGATGAATGAAAAATCTTGAGGACTGAGGAGGGTTTTTTTTTGCTTTGGGCCTCCAAAATTTAGTCTTTCTGCAATTGCACATAGCCTAAAATAAATGCACATAATGTATTTAATCCATGGGTATTATGTGATTTCAGTGGAGGGGGGGGCATAACGCTGTCAAGGAACCTGTAACAGGGAGCAATGAAATGATTGCCCAAGATCACCAGACAAGCAATTAGAAAAGCCAGAAATAGCACCCTCAGGTGCTCTTCCTAAACCTCAGGTTTATAGTCTAACCTGCTGGCAGCAGAGGCAGATGTGATCTTTATCTGATTTGCAAGGCAGCCCAACCACGTACCCACACTGTACACGAGTACACACAAGGCACAGATATACACGGTTGCCACAAGGGTAGAGGGGGAGCAACAGCATCCATAGCCCAAATTCCCAATAAATTCAGGCTTAAGACAGCATGGAATGAATGGCTCTGAGGTCTGGGCTTCTTCGTTAATTTCACGCAGCACAGACTCAGAGCTGAAGCTGATGCTGTATATTTCACTACCTTAGCGCAGGGTCTCTTGGCCCTGGTCCTGCAAATACATTCTTCCTGCTTGGGTTTCTGCTTTTTCCACACGTACCCACAGCAGCTGGCTCCGGTTTATGGCAGACACTCGGTTTCTTGCCCACATCATCTTTTGTTCTGTCTATATAAAGGAAAAGAATCATAGAATCATAGAATTGCCCAGGCTGGAAGGGACCTCCAAAGGTCCTCTAGTCCGACCTCCCCGCAGTCAGCAGGGACACCCCCAACTAGACCAGGTTGCCCAGGGCCTCATCGAGCCTCTCCTTGAATATCTCCAGGGATGGGGCCTCAACCACCTCCCTGGGCAGCCTGTTCCAGTGCTCCACCACCCTCACAGTGAAGAACCCTCTCCTAAAGAGATGCTGTAGACTTAGCTGCTGTCACCATCATTAAACCCTGGTTCTCATCTCTTCCTCTTTCTTCCCTTCCACCTTCCACTTAAAGCACCCTCTCAGCTTCCAAGTGTAGATCAGCAATTGATCAATAATACTAGTAATGACAACAACTGCACAGATTTCGACAGCTTGACTATTTTAATGCATTAATACGAAGCGTGTCTCAAAACAAGGGTTCTGGGGGCTGGTTAACATGGCCCAGCAAGGCCGTGACTCCGTATTTAGTTTGACACGGGCAGCTCCTCTCCAGGGAGTTGTTACTCACGGGCTCACATTTAAGCGCTCGGCGTCGCAGACTAGATCGGGCAACAGCAATATTCCAGCTGACCCAAATACTTTAACAAAAACATGGATTTCTGAGGAAGCTATTTTTAGCCACAGCTGCAGGAAAGCACAAAACCCGTCCCAGCAGCTGACATTCTGCAACCAGCACAGCACCCTCGGCCGCTGGCCGCCAAGAAAGCCTTTGGAGACTGGCAGCAAAGGCGGTCCCGCTGCTCGCCCCGCTCCCCGCCTGCCGAGCGGCCCGGGGGG